GCAACAACGAACTGGCCCCAAAGTTCCAATGATTACGACGCACAGTGAACATGGAAAACCTGCAAGGACCAACATCTCGCCACCGAGGCGCCGAGGAATCGGAGGCGGAAAAGGGGGGAAAGGGAGGGAGGGAGGGAGGGAGGGAGGGAGGGAGGGAGGGAGAGATTGGTGGAGGGAGGGGAGAAGCAGGATGAGGGAGGGAGGGAGGAGGGGAGGGAAGAGGGTAAGGGAGATTGGGGGGAGAGGAGAGATGAGGAAGGGAGGGAGGAGGAGGAGAGGGGAAGGGAGGGAAAGGAGGAGGAGGAGGAGAAGGAGGAGGAGCTGGAGGAGGAGGAGGAAAGACGGGGACCGACGGCCTCTGATAGCCTCCGGAGGCACAAGGGGCCCGAAAACCGTGCACAAAACAAAGCAAAATCTATCGTTGATCCTCACTCCCACCCCTTCCCCCCCTCCTCCTGCTCCTCCCCCACCTCCCTCCCCTCACAAAGAACCTCCTCCTCCTCCTCCTCCTCCTCCTCCTCCTCCTCCTCCACATGCTCCTCCTCCTCCTCCTCCTCGTCCTCCTCTTCCTCCTCCTCCTCCTCCTCCTCCTCCTCCTCTTCCTCCTCCCCCTCTTTCCTCCTCCTGCCCCAGTCTTCATCATCCTTATCATCGTCCTGCTTCCCCTCCTTCCCTGCACATCCTCACCCTCCCTCCCCGTCTCCCTCCTCCTCCCCCCACTCCATCGCCCTCCATCCCTCCATCCCTCCATCCCTCTCCTCCTCCCCTCCTCCTCCTCCTCCTCCTCCTCCTCCTCCTCCTCCTCCTCCTAAACTAAACACACATCGGGGGCAACGAAAACCGGTCTCAAGGCTCTGGACACCGAATTCCGAGTTCCAGGCCGAAAAACCTCAAACAAAATTGTGTGCCCCTGTGACGTCGGGAACGAGGTCGGCGCGCGGCCGCGGGGGCCTGGCGGCGCCCCGCTCCGCAGGTGCGGCGACGGGGTCCGATACAGCCAGGGGGGCCCGCGACGCGCGACCAACGCTGACTGCATCCATGCACCGCGGATTCCATCCTCCCTCGGGCTGTTAGACGGAGCCGCCAGGGCCAGAACCCGCCGAACAGCCTGGGGGTGTGGGGGACCCGCAGTGCATCACGTCCGACTGCGGGCTCTCCTTCGGAGCGACCCCAGTCGGGCTAACCCTGCTCTCCAGGGCCCTCAGAAGTTCACTTTCACGCTCGCTGCCAGTCGCAGCGACCATCGCGGTCTCACTGGCCGCCTGCTGCCGACGGGCCTTCAGCTCGGCTTCATGCTCTGGCCCATATCCTTCTGCAGATCGCGCTCGAGCCTGGACCTGCCCGTCGACACGCACCGCCCCCTCGGCCTCCAGCATGGCAATGAGCAGCGTCCGCACGTCCCTGACGAGAGTCGACGCCAGCGGCATGTCGGCCAGACGCCGCGTCCCCTCCACGTCGCTCTCCCTGAACGTCTCATGGTTCGCCTTCTTCTTTCCCTCGCGGGGCTTGCCCAGCCACTTGGGCGGTAGCTGCACTCGCGGGCTGATGGTCATCGTCATCTGCTCATGCTCGTCGAACCTCGCGCGCTTGGACATGCGCCCCTTGAAGAGCTCGCCCTTGATCGCTGGGCTCTCCTCCAGCGCCGTGTTCATGATTGACCGCACGCCCTGCGCCAGCCTGACCTGCTGCCCTTTGCTCCTGTCTGCGTTGGCCAGCTTGTTGATCACTCTCTTCTTCTTCTCGATCTGCTCGTGCGGGCTGCCGAGCTCCTGCTGAGTGAGCGTCTTGGACTCCACCGCATCGTTGTGCTCCTTCCCGCTCGTCTCCGCCGCATCCACCGTGCCGCTGTTCACTGGCTCCAGGCAGAAGTCGAGGACTGCCCACTCCAGTCTGCGCTGCCCCTGCAACGTGTTCAGCACCCCCTGCAGCCTGGTGACCATCGCGTCGGAGACCCCGCCGAAGCTGGCGGCGACGAGACCCGTGCCACAATCGGTCGCGAGCTTCTTCTTCTTCATGCCGCCCTCCTGATCCCAGTAGGTCGTCAGCACGCGCATGCCGTCCCCAACTCCTTCCATGGCCATCTCCTGCTTCCACTCCTCAGCGCCCAGCATGCAGTTGGCCTCGCCCCTCAGCTCTTCGATCCGCTCGTAGTAAATGTGGCCCTGAAGGGCCTCGCAGCGCGCCTTGCACTCGCATGTGAGACGCCGTAGCCGCTCTTCTGCACCCCTCTCGATGCGCTCGGGGTAGTGGTGGCCTGTGTCATCCCGTCGAGCCTGCATCTCTGCAAGTTCATGTGCCACGTGCGCCACAGCTCGGTATTTGGTCTCGCAGGTGGGGTAGGAGTCGGAGCGGTTCCTCTCGGCATCAGCGGCGCTCAGATCGTTCTCAACCTTCTCGCCTAGCTCGTGCCTCCGCTCGCCCTTCGTCAAGCGGGTCATGAGGGAGTCCCGATCCGCCCTTGCCATGGCGCCCCGCAGCGGCCAGTAACTCAGCTCGTAAGTGATGTGGGCCTCAGTCAGGTACCGATAGCGAAGCTCAGCCGTCGGGAATGATAAGAGCGTGCGCATCAGGTATTGGTGCATCCTGATCTTCGGCACTGCCCCCATAGCCGTGGGCGGAACAATCACTTGATCTTTCCAGCTGGTCTGCTCCGACCCGTAGTAGCTGTCGAGCGGAAGGAAGTGCGTGTTGGCCGCGGTAAGGTAGTACATAGCCGCCCACCTCCGTCCATGACGTCCAGCCACCTCGTCTATGTCATTGAAATCCAGCTGCTTGTCCCAAGCGAACACCTCCAGGTCCTTGTTGCCCGCCTCCGCCTCCTCGTCGTTGATCCAATCTGAGATGCGCTGCATGGCCCCCGTACGCTCCTCCTGGGTGCCGTACGGCGTGAGGTAGACCCCGCCGCCCAGCATCGGGGTCCGCGTCATCGTCAGCTTGAGACCTCCCGCCCGCTCAGTGATGCCAATCTTCGGCGGCGAGCTGAGTACCTGGCGGACATGGTTGCTGACGCTCCTACCAATCATGATCGTGATACCGCAGCTCTTGTCAGTGAGCCGTCCACTGCGCCAGCTCCCGTCGAGAACCACGTGCCTCATCGTGCTAGTGGCCGTGACGGGGATCGCGTCTCTCTGGCGCTGCTGAGTGCCAGGCCGTGCCACCACGTCAAAATTCTGCAGCGCCTCGCGCGCGAGAGCCCCCCGCCAGGACTGCCAACTCTGCGGGTTGTAGAGGCCCGTCGTGAGCATCCAGACAGCGGCAGCCGTGCACGCCGTCACGAGCCTCGCCAGGGCCATGGCGCGGCGGGGCAGCGCGAGAGCCTCAGAGGGCTAGCGCAGGGTCGGCGCCTCCCATCCCGCGGCGGCAGGCGCCTCGCGCCCCCGACGAAATCCAAGGCCCGTTGGGGGCCGCCGTGGTCGCCCAGATCTTCCTCATTCGAGAGGAAGTGGCGACTCTCCTCCTCCTCCTTCTCCTCCTCCTCCTGTTCCTCCTCCTCCCCCTCCCTCGTCCTCTCCTCCCCCTTCCCCTTTCCCATAGTCCCCTCTGGAGGGGGGCGCTCGACCCAGCAAATCTGCACGCCCCTCCCCCCCCGCGCCTAAACGGGTAAGCCGGGACCAATATCACGGGCACGAACGACGGGGAGGCGCCCTTGACTGCACAGGCGAAGCCCTCCTCGCCTCGGGAAGGGAAGGACGAGGGGGAGTGGGAAGAGGGAGGAGGAGGAGGAGGAGGAGGAGGCGGAGGAGGAGGAGGAGGAGAAGGAGGAGGAGGAGGAGGAGGGGCAGGAGGAGGAGGAGGAGGAGGCGAGGGCGGAGGAGGTGGAGTTGGAGGGAGAGACGTGGAGGACGAGGAGCGGGCGGATGAAGAAGACAAGGGGGAGAGTGGCCCCGCTCGTCACCACGGACGCTGTGGAATTTCTCCTGTGGGAGAGCTGATGGGGGGATATGGAGAGGGTTGGAGGAGGACAAGGGCATGGGCGCACCATATGTGACATCCAACACCTCCCGTCCTTAGCTGAATTGAGGGGTATCCTAGAGGACCTTGAAATCATAAAGGACCCCTTATCATGTGATGCGCGATCAGAGAAGGGGGGCCTTGCACATCGCCAAGGGCTGCGGCGGATGGGAAAGAGGATGAGCCGAAGGACGATGAGGATGAGGAGGGAGGAGGGAGAGGAGAAGCAGTTCACAGGAGGAGGAGGAGGCGGAGGAGGAGGAGGAGGCCCACAGGAAGGGCCCCCTGCTCGAGACTCCCTTGCGGTTCACTCACGGACGAAGGTTCCCGCCCAAGACTTCTCTCACATCCAGGCCGCAGGAGCCAAACAAAGGGGACGATACATGAGGCGAGGGCCCTATAGGGAGGGTGTCCCCGCTTGAAGCTTCCTCACAATTCACTTACAGGCGAGGCTCCAGCCCGAGACCTCCGCAAGACTCAAGCTCCGGGAGCCCAAAACTGAAGACGGCTACTAGGTCCCGATGGCCCTGTCGGATACAAGCACGACGTGGGGACTCTACAGGGAAGGAAGTCGGGCTCAAGACTTCCTCACCGTTCACTCACGGACAAGGCTCCCGCTCGCAGGCGGATTTGGGCGAAAAATAACAAATAGTCAAAAACAACTCAAACATAGAAACTTGTCGAAAAATCCTCCCCAGACTATTTCTGGCAGGTGCCCAAAAGAATGACGACGGTTACAGGAACGAAGCGCGGGCCCTAATAGGGACGGGGCTGCCGCTCGAGGTGCCCTGGCAAGTGAAATACACACATGCGGCGCCCGCGCGAGACCTCCTCGAGATTCGGGCCTCAGAAGCGCAGGAGTGACGACGATCACAGGGTCCATATTGCTCTGCGTGGTGAAAGCATGAAGCGGGGGGCCTAAAGGGACCCGATTCGAGACTCTCTCGGACTGCACTCACGGACGAGGCTCCCACTCGAGGCATCCTCAACGGTTGGCACACATGTGTGAGTGCGCGGATGTGTATAGGAGTGCGTGAATGTGTGCGGAGGCACGGGTTATGATGATGATAGTGATGGTGATGAGGATGAGGACGATGGTGACGACGATGTGGCTGTGACCATTGCGAATGCAAGACAAGATGAACGGAGATGATGGTCATGATGGTGCTGGTGTGAGCGTATAGGTGTGTGGGGGACAGGGAGAGAGGGAGAGAGAGAGAGAGAGAGATAGAGAGAGAGGGAGATAAAGAGAGAGAGCGAGAGATTATGAGTCTAGCGGTGACGGTGATGCCGATGGTATTAATGATGGCGATGACGACGGGGATGATGATGATGATGATGATGATGATGAAGATGAATATGAAGCTGATGATGACGATGATGATGATGATGATGATGATGATGATGGTGGTGATGATGATGATGATGGTGATGACGATGATGTTGATGTTGATGATGACGATGATGATGATGATAATGATGATGATGATGATGATGATGAGGAGGATGCCGGTGCTGATGCTGATGCTGACGATGATGATGGTGGTGATGATGATGATGCTGATTATCATTATCATGATGGTCATGGTGGCGAGTGAGGATCAGATGAGAGGGTGTTCTGGTTGGTTCCGTCGCGGGGGCACCGAGAGAAACCAATAACCCGACTTAGGATCAGATGAGGGGGTGTTCTGGGTGGTTCACTTGTATTACGCTCGCCCCAAGACAGCCCAAGAGGGCCGAGAGACGGCCCGGGGGTACTTTGGACTTTCCCCCCAGGATGGCCCCGAGGGCCCCCCCCCAACCCTCCGAGACACCACCAAGAGGCCCCACGAGGCCCCCCCCCCGAGAGACCCCCAACAATAGGCCCCCAAAGCCTTCCAGATGCATCCAGGAGCCTTCCAAGGGGCCCCTGAGAGGAGACCTCCAAGAGAGCCTCAAATTCATCCTAGAGGCTCCTGGCCCACAACCCATGCACGGTGGAGGGATGGGTTGAAGGCTGAAGGCTACTAGATCATGATGATGATGATGATGATGATGATGATGATGATGATGATGAGGATGAGGATGGTGATGGTGATGGTGATGGTGATGGTGATGATGATGGTGATGGTGATGATGATGATGATGATGATGATGATGATGATGATGATGATGATGATGATGATGATGATGATGATGTTGAATATTATTATTATCATTATTATTACTATTACTATTATTACTACTATTATTATTATGATGGCCATGGTGCTGAGGTGGGTGAGGATCAGATGAGGGGGTGTTCTGGTTGGTTCCGTCGCGGGGGCACCGAGAGAAAACAATAACCCGACTTAGGATCAGATGAGGGGGTGCTCTGGGTGGTTCCGCGCAGGGGCACCGAGAGAAAACAGTACCCCCACGGATGACGCGGGACAGGACACTGTGAATGGGGCCGCGTGACCCTTGCCCCAAATCCGCCGGCCCCCGCTTGCAAGTGGGGAGAAAAAAGATGTAGTTGGTTGTCCCCCTCCCCCGTCCCCGGGTCGTCCTCCTCCTCCTCCTCCTCCTCCTCCTCCTCCTCCTTGTCCTCCTCCTCCTCCTCCTGGTCCAGGATGCCGTTTCTGGGTGGGAGCGAGCTCGCAAGACGCGCGCTCGGGGCCCCCGCCGCCTCCCACCAGAGGCCCCCAGAAAGGGGCCCAGACGGAGCGCCAAGACGGGCGGAGAGAGCGCCGAGACGGCCCCGAGTGGCCCTACGACGCCCCAAGATGACTTCAAGACCGCCCACGAGGCCCCCAAGGCGGCCCCAAAAGTGTTCCCGGAGTGCCGCCGAGAAGGGCCCACGAGGAGACAATCGCAAACGCAATCGCTTGCAGCACGCTCGCCCCGAGACAGCTCAAGAGGGCCGAGAGACGGCCCGGGGGTACTTTGGACTTTCCCCCCAGGATGGCCCCGAGGGCCCCCCCCAAACCCTCCGAGACACCACCAAGAGGCCCACGAGGCCCCCCCCGAGAGACCCCCAACAATAGGCCCCCCAAAGCCTTCCAGATGCATCCAGGAGCCTTCCAAGGGGCCCCTGAGAGGAGCCCTCCAAGAGACCCTCAAATTCATCCTAGAGGCTCCTGGCCCACAACCCATGCATGGTGGAGGGATGGGTTGAAGGCTGAAGGCTACTAGAAAACTTGCACGATCGTCGCAAACTCTGACTCCTTCCGTGGGCCCGCGGGATGGCGCAAGCCACTTGAACGATGAATTGCACCAGAGAGAGGAGGGAGAAGTGGCGGATGGACGAAAGCAGATATGGGGATGTTGGGCCCCTGATGAGGCCGATGCCTGATCATGGGCCGATTGGCAAAGAGAGGGAGGGAGGGAGGAGGAGGAGGAGGAGGAGGAGCGAGCGGCATCGGAAGAGAGGTGCACACCCATCCGCCCGCCGCGCGCGCGCGCCCGCTGTGGGGCCTCTCGAGGCCTCGGCGTCGACGCCCACGTGGTCGCCGGTGCCCGCGAAGGCGCCCGCGGGGCCACCGCGAGAGCAGGGGGGGGCGCCAAGGCATCGATGGGAGCTTCCATCTCCGCGCCCGCGGGGGCAGAAGGGACGATGGCAGCGGGAGTCGCCGCCGAGAAGTCGGTCACGGACTCTGCCTCGGCGAGCAGCGCCAGGTGGAGCGGGCCATCGGCAGCGTCAACCCACTCCGTCACCGCAAAGCTGTGGTCAAGCGTTGGAGCAGATGGGTTAGACTCCAGAGCGCTCCGAAGAGCGCCCGTCGAGGGAGGGGTCCATCGCAGTGGGAGGCAGCGAACGGAGGCCTTGCCCGCGGAGATCCACAAGTGTTCGTCAGGCACACCATGTCGAAGCACCGCAGGTGGAACTCCAGAAAGGGGAACACCAGGACAGCCGCGGCATTCAGGCCGACGATGGGCTGCACCTTCGGGATGGGGCCCAGCTCCCTCAGGCCGAAGATCGCCAGCAGCAGGAGCAATGACGCCTCGAACTGCCACCGCGGCAGGAGCATCAGCATGTGGACGCTCACCAAGCCGAGGATCAGCAGGCAGCGCATGCGATTGAACGGGCCTGTCCCGAAGAAGCCCTTCATGCAGGAGATCATAAATTATCGACTTTCCTTGGAATTCTCTCTCCACCATCGCGTGAACCTCAGGAGCATTGTGACCAGCAGCACGGACGTGCCACCGCGTCGCGTCGCCGACGATGGCGGACTGCACAGTCGTGAGATCTGTGACGAGAGCGAGCATGCCAGTCAGCAGTCGCACGGTCGGCCACCTCCGACAGATGTGAACACGTGCGCCCATCGCCGCGCGAGCAGCAAAAGGAGAAACGGCATGCCGGACGAGTCGCCATCCTCGGACCCACCTCCAGGACCTTCCAGCAGAAGACATCGACTGCCGTAGACGGTGCAGGAGCGCCCAGAGAACCCGCGGCGGCACGACCACTGGGATCAGGAGGGAGCACGCCATCAAAAGCAGCGATCGCACCAACGCAATCTTCAGAGGTAGCATCTGGCCCCATAGCGCCATTAAGACCAGCAGCTGCACGATCAGCAGGACGACGCCGAGCAACGTCACGCAAAACCACTGCCACCCCTCCAGGCGCGCCACGATCACCAAGAGGATGAGGAAGAACGCCACCAGAAGTAGCGGCCGGACCAGCGCGATCAGGCTCACGCCGCACAGCTTCACGAACATCGAATTGACCCAGGCCCGCATCGAAGTCGTAGGCGGAGGCCTTGGACTCAGTCGGCACCTCAGCACCACTAGCAGAAGCACGATCACCAGGAAGCGGAAGGGAAACGCCACCAGCAGCAGCGGCCGCACTGACGCGACCACGCCCACGACGGACGGCGTCACGATCTCCAAACGGAGTCGGCTCTGCGTCGGAGTTGCAGTCAGAGGACTTAGCGACAGTCGGCGCAACAGCACCATGGACACCAGTGGCAGCTTGATCACCAGGAAAAGGTGAAAACATGCCAAAAGCAGCAGAGGCCGCATCAACGCGACCAAGCTCGCGCCGGTCGGCTGCACAATCTTCGAACAGAGTCAACTTTGCCTCGAAGTCGTAGTCGAAGGCCCTGGCTGACGAAGTCGGCACAGGACGTCGGTGCAGCGCCTTGGTCATGTAGGCGCGAGACGACTTCCGCCACCATCGGCAGGTCCGAGCCGCGGCAGTATCCCACTGCCGAGGGCACCACCCCAGATGCAGCCTGCCACTCGACGATGAAAGGCAAGACTTGAAACAGTATGCGCAGTGGCTTCGCGAGCAGCTCGCTGGCCTGATTGAAAGACAGCGTCGTGGAGGGAGGCGCGCGCCGGGCAGCAGAGGGGACAGTTGGAGTTGGACTCGCTTCGGCACGTCGGAGGTGCCCTGCTGGTCCGAGCTAGCCCGGTGGAGCGATTCCTGCACGTGGGCGTCCTCGACGAGAGGCAGGCGGTGTTTGGCGAGGCCACCCAGCGTATTGCCTTCTCGAAGCTGTTGAACAGCAGCGCCACCCACCCGCGGCGCAGCAAGCGAAAGCGCATTTCGAAGGGCGTGCGAAGGTGCTCCATCTTCGCGCTGAAGGTGAGCATGAACCCGCAGGCCATGCAAAACGTCACGGACATGAGGTGCAAGAGCAGCAGGAACCAAAACCTGCTGGGCACCGCGTGGCGCAGTCCGGAGATAACCACGACGTGCACGGTCCCGACGAGCTTCACGGCCCACAGCAGACCTGCAATGCGTCATCGCGCCACTCAGCGGGAAGCTCGGCGCACACCATGGCATGCTAGCAGAAGGGGGGCGCGTGCACGCGTGACTTGAGCCAAACTGGTTACGGAGGAAGAGGAGGAGTAGGAGGAAGAGGAGGAGTAGGAGGAGGAGGACGGTGGAGGCGACCTGCGAATCGAACCACAGCAGCCAAATAATCACACCATAGCGATCAGCAACTCGCAGCGCATCGACCAAACGTTCACGACATACACCAGCGGATCACACCGCGGCCACTGATCTGATAGATTCCGCCGGTGATGAAGTCCACTGAGCGCCTCGCGGCCGCGCGCCCTGATGGAGGCCTTCGTGGAGCCTCGCCAGACGGGAGAGCTAGGAGCTCAGCAAGAGAGCACGAACAAGTGCGGGGGTACTCGAGAACATCTGCAAGTGCATCGCAGGCATTCGTCATCGTCCCTCCTCATCCTCATTCCTCCTCCCTTCTTCCTCCTCGTCCTTCTTCCTCCTCCACCTCCTCCTCCTCCTCCTCCTCTTCCTCCTCCTCCTCCTCCCTCCTCGTACCTCCTCCCTCCTCGTACCTCCCCGTCCCTTCTCCTCATCCCTCTCCTCGTGTTCGTCCCTCTCCTCCTCCTCCAACTCCTCCTCCTCCTCCTCCTCCTCCTCCTCCTCCTCCTCCTTCTCCATGCTGCTTGTCATTTTCGCCTCCTCGTACTCGTCGTCCTCCTCCGCCTCCTCTTTCTTGTTGTCCCTCCTCCTCTTTCTCTTTCTGGCACCCCCAAGCACTGCATATGGGAGACAATCCCCCGGCCGCTCCCTTCGAGAATCGAAGGGCTCATTCAATGCCCTCTCCTTCTCCCTCCTCCTCCTCCTCCTCCTCCTTCTCCTCCTCCTCATCCTCCTCTTCGTCACTCCTTCTCTTCGTCCCTCCTCATCTTCCTCCTCCAGACCCGTCCCTTTATGAACAACTCGTCCTGGTCACACCACAAGGCGTGATGGCAGGTCGATCTGGACGATTCGCCCAGTGTTCACGACGTGGGATCCTGGACTAAAGTTTGTAACTTCCAAAAGCTGCACGGATGAAAGGCAATTTGCTTGCAAACGCTTGTTGCCGCATGCATCTGAAAGCTTGCACAGCCCTTGCACAACCCCTCACACAACCTTGCACAACCTCTCACAATCCAATGCACACTTCCCCTCGCACAACTTGTTGATGATATTTTCTGTTTCGCACCGAGGGAAGCATGTCATAACTACGCGTTGAGATGCTGCTTACGAGAGGCGACCTCTTGGAAACAAGCACCGGAAAAACGATTGCGCTGTACCGGGCGAGGCGGTCCACAAGATCGGGACAAGAGGCCCAGAAAACGAGAGGGATGCGCGCGAGGGGGTAACGGCGAAGAGGGGGAGAGAATCGCTGCGGCGCAAGGAAGGGGGCAGTAAAAGCAGGACAACTAGTAAAGCTGCCGCTGAGAGTACTGCTTGTGCGCCCCCACTATCTACATTGCCTGGCTGTCTCGTTAAAACCTGGCGCCCGGGTGGCAAGAACCACGGCGCCCAAAGGCGGTGATGGAGGCCATCCCAGGAAAGACGAGGAGACTCACCACAGGGCCTGTCCCACACTGTGCCAGCCCGTGACGAAGCCCGCTGCACCCTCCTCTTGTGCCTGCCCTTGCGGGTTCCGGGCTCCGGGCCTGCCCTTTCCCCGGATTCCCCCCCTGGGCGCCTCCCCCGCTGCCCCTCGGCCGGCGGGGCCTGCGGGCGTGCCTCCGCGCCTGCCCGCGCGGTCAGTTGGCGGGGCCCGTCGCCCGCAGCAGGGCGGCCGCGGGCGAGCATGCTGCCTGGACCTCGAGCCCAACCGCACACACGAGCGGAAATGCCGACGGAGCACACGTGTCCGGAATCGGAGGCAGCGTCGGTGGGGCCGCCTCCAACCAGCATGCCGCCCGCGCGGCGAGCCTGCGCGAAGCCTCGCGGGCGGCGGCCACCGCCGGGAGCGGCGGCCCGTGCGCGCCTGCGGTGCCAATCTCCAGGGCAGTGGCGAATCCAGCCGAGCGTGAGCGGCGGCCCTGGGCCTCTGGCTCCGTCAGCGCGAGCGGCAGCAGGGCGCGCCGCTGCGACAGCACAGCTGCAGCCCACGCTGCGTCTGCTCGGCCGCGTGCTGCAACAGCCAGGGTGCCTGGGCCAGCCACGCGCTCGAACCACGGCCCCGCGCGGCACCGCGGGAGCTGCAGCTGCTGGCCGCCCGGCGGAATGCGCGCCAGCAGCCTTGGGGCCCTCGGGGCTGCCGTGAGGCACATGATCTTCGCCGGTGCTGGTGGGCGTGGCGGCGGCGGCGGCAAGGGCGTCTGCGACGGCCATCCGCGGGGGCCCCCCGGGAGGCAGCCCCGCAGCAGCTGCTCGGGGCGGTCCGCCTCCGCCGGCATCGGCATGCTCAGATCGTCGATCAGCACCACAGGCCCACCGCGCCGCAGCGCGCGCCCCGCTCGGAGCAGGGGAGCGGCCTGGGCGGACGTCTTCGAGGGGGCAGCAGCCTTCAGGCTGGGCGGACCGAACTCTTGCACGGGGCCCGTGGCCAGCTCGGTGATGGGTGCCAAAGGCAGGGCTCCTGGCCCGGACGGGGCGGCAACGCAGAAGCAGGTCACCAGCAGGGCGGGTGAGAGGTCCTCCGCAGCGGGCAGCTTCAGCACGAGCTCCCCCTGCCACGCTGCACCGCCGCCTCCGAGCAGCCGCTCGGCCCCGGCCGCGCCCGGCAGCGAGAGCGCCGCGCCTGGCAGCGCGAACGCCTCGGAGCCTCCAGCGTTGGCGAGCCTCCCCAGCGCGCGCTCCAGGAGCGCCAGCACCGTGGCAGCCCCAGCGCCAGCGGCCAGCAGCGGGCGGCCGCTGCCCCTTTCGGCCCACAGCCACGTGCGCATCGCCGCCGCCGCGGCCGATTCGCGGCCCGCCGCGGGCAGCAGGGAGGCCCCGCCCTCCGCGGCGGCGGCCCCGAGCGCGGCGCGCACGGCGCGGGCGCGCGCGGGGAGGCCTCGTGCCGTGCGCGCCAGCGCGCCCCACGCGGCCGCCTCGCCGCCGCCGGCGCCCACCGCGGAGATGGCGCGCGCGAGGCCGGGGGAGCCCTGCGCGCCCGCCGCCAGCACGCCGGCCGCGGCACGGGCGGCCGCGGCGCCGCCGCAGCCTCTGGCGAGCAGCGCGGCTTCGGCGACCACGGCGCGGGGCGGCCGCACGCGGCCCAGCGGCCTGGGCGCCTTTGGGCTCGCCAGCGAAGGGCGGCCCCACGACTCGGCGGCGGCGCCGCCAGAGAGCAGGAAGGGGGCGATCGGCCGCTCGGTGGCAAGCGACTGAACCGGTAATGGCGGTACAGCAGGCAGTACAAGCGCCCCCGGCACGTCCCAAGCGGCTGCGCCTGGCAGCCGCGCCAGCAGAGCAGGGCCGCGCCCCTCCAGCCAGGCAGAGAGCTCCTCGAGGTGACCCGCAGGCGCCTCTGCGCAGCCGGGCGCCGCGTGGGACCGCCCGCTCGGCGCGCCGCGCGCCGCCGCCGGCGTGCCCGCGGGCGTGCTGGTCGGCGTGGCCTGAGCTGTGGGCGCCGCGGTGGATGGGGTCGGCGGAGCGCTGGCAGTCTGCGGGTGGCCTTTCGGGCCCAGTAGCCTCGCTGCCGCAGGGCTAGGAGGTATGTCGATCAGCGTGGAGATCCCCTTCATGGCGCGTCCTCCTACTTCTGCGGGTGACCCGACGTCGATGCCCACGTCTGACGCGTTCCTTGAGCCAGAGTGGCTGCGGCTTGTTCCTGACATGACAAGCGACGGGGTGAAGGCTCGCGTGTCACAACCAACCCAGCCATATAGCCTCCAAGGTGCCCCCAAGCCTGCCCAAGAAGGCGTCAATACGGCCCAAGAAGGCCTCAAGATGGCCCAAGATGGCGCCAAAAATGGCCCGAGATGCCCAAAGGCTGCACCCAATACGGCACAACACAGCCCAAGATGGCCGAAGATACCTGCCAATCTGCTCCCAAGCCCCAAGACAATTCCGAAGACGGCTACGAGCGGCCACGGAGACTCCCAAGGAGGCCCCCGAGAGGCTACCGTCATTCGAAACTGGACAGTCCAGGCGTGTGCCTTCTAGCCTTCTCGATTCCGACGGGCAGCTGAGGCCGCAGGAGGGCCCCCCAAAGATGTCCCAGGAGAGCCCGGGGAGTATCCCAAGAGGGCGACAAGACGGCCCCAAGAGCGCCTGAGCGTCCCCCCGAGACGGCCCCAAGACAGCACCAGAGGCCCCCGAGACGCCCCCAAGAACCCCCCAAGAGGCCCCCAAGAGGCCCCCGAGAGGCCGCAGGAGAGCCCCGAGAGGCACCAAGATGCGCCAACATGCCACTTCCAGGCCTGTGCAGACTGGTTTCCCGCAGGGGGGACCGCCGTGGCTCCTGGTCTGAGGGATCGGCAGCCTGCTGCTGTTCCACCATGCTTTCCTGTGCGACCGCGCCAGCGCGCCCGCACAAGTCCGCCGCGTGGCATCCAGCTATGTTGAGCAGCTGCCGGAGTAGCTCCATGTGCCGCCGCGCAACTCCAAAGCCGCCAGAACTGCACGTTCGACTGCCACTGGCAGAATCGACTGAACCGAAAACCCATGGCACATCCGTCGCCCATGACGGCAAGCCGCTCCACGTAGACAATCGCGCCGCACAGACAAGTCAAACCAGGACAGCGGCAAACTGGACTGCGGCTCTGCCCCTGAGCATCCTGAATGCCGCGTGCGTGCGTGTGTGCGTGTGTGCGTGTGTGCGTGTGTGCGTGTGTGCGCGTGTGCGCGTGTGTGTGTGTGTGTGTATGTGTGTGTGTATGTGTGTGTGTGCGTGTGTGTGTGCGTGTGCGTGTGCGTGTGCGTGTGCGTGTGCGTGTGCGTGTGCGTGTGCGTGTGCGTGTGCGTGTGCGTGTGCGTGTGCGTGTGCGTGTGCGTGTGCGTGTGTGTGCGTGTGCGTGTGCGTGTGCGTGTGCGTGTGCGTGTGCGTGTGCGTGTGCGTGTGCGTGTGCGTGTGTGCGTGTGCGTGTGTGCGTGTGCGTGTGTGTGTGCGTGTGTGTGTGGGTGTGTGGGTGTGTGGGTGTGGGGTGTGGGGGTGTGGGGGTGTGGGGGTGTGGGGGTGTGGGGGTGTGGGGGTGTGGGGGTGGGGGGTGTGTGTGGGGGTGTGTGTGTGTGTGTGTGTGTCTGTGTCTGTGTCTGTGTCTGTGTCTGTGTCTGTGTCTCTGTGTCTCTGTGTCTCTGTGTCTGTGTGTCTGTGTGTCTGTGTGTCTGTGTGTCTGTGTGTCTGTGTGTCTGTGTGTCTGTGTGTCTGTGTGTGTGTCTGTGTGTCTGTGTGTCTGTGTGTCTGT